ACTCCATGTTTTGGGAGCAGATACGAGATGGACTCTATTGAAATTAAGTTGGTCGGAGTGTCCAGGGTGAAAGTCCCAAAATCATATGCATACATGGGTACCGATCCCGCGGACGAAATTTCTGTAAAATGACAAGATTGAAGTGCTTGTATGATGGCTACGTTGATTGAGAACCACTGAGTTAGCCTCAGTTGGGTTATTTGGAAAATTGTAAACTTGGCTTATGCATAGAAATAAATTGAATTAACTTGAAATGAACAAATGGAAATGGCTTGAGATGTGAATATCGGTACCGCGTTATCATGTGAAGGATGTGTGTTTGTCACAAATATTGAATATATCACTAATACTTATAACTTAGTTGAATCTCATACATTGTATTAGACTGTTTCTACTGGGTTTTGGCTCACCCTATTTGGAAAATCATTTTCAGGTAACGATGATATACTTCCTCCATGGACGTAGCTTGGAAGGACCTAGGAGCTGAAGGCTCTATTTTTGTGTTTTGTGTTTAAATGTTTATTCAAGTCAAGAGCTTTATATATGCAACTATTTTTGTGTTTTGTGTTTAAATGTTTATTCAAGTCAAGGCTTTATATATGCAACCCGCAAAATAAAAAAATATTAAAACTACATCCGACCCTAACAATTTTGCAAAATCGCTCAAATCAGCACGGGCGGTTCGAATTGGGCAATTTTCACAAATCAAATAACTCTATACCCAGTCTTAACATAATAATAAATCATAACCAAATATTAAAGGTCTGATTTATCTCACAACCATTTGCACAATAATAAATGCAGACTGTCTCACTTGACTTTCAAAAAGCACAAGTTGCACAATATATGAAAGGAAATGGTCCGGTTTCTCTCTGGTATGTTTGTGGGGATTGCGACTTTTAGTGTAATTGAAAACAACAATTTAAAAAATCAAAATTTGGGTTAGAGAGAGGAAATAGGATAGTTGATACAATTTGTCAAAGCAAAAAAAAAAAATTTGGTGAACAAAAGATTTTATTGATGAAGATTAAAAATACATATATCAACATCACAAAGTTAAAATTATATGGGTCCTAACATGAACTGTGATGGGGCAATGTTCAAGACTGAGGTCTCGTTTAGGAACCATCTTTTTTAGTTAAAAAGTCAAAAAGTCACTAAATTAGTCAAAAAGTCAACAACCCGTACCAAAAAGTCAAAGATTCTCTTTTCTCTCTATTTTTTGCACATCTTTTAGTAAAAAGTCAAAAAGTCATCCCAAACATACTAGTTTTTTTTAGCTCATATTTTAGCCAAATAATCAAAAAGTTACTAAATTAACCTGTTTCCAAACGAGGTCTGAGTGTCTATCCGGTTCCGGCGTGGTTGTCCGAGATGATCGGGGGCAGGTTATAGCCTCTTTGTGTGAACAGGCTCCACTAATGTGGGATGTTGAATGTTCGGAGGCAGCTGCACTTCTTCGTGGGGTAATGTTTGCGCTGGAATTGGGGCTCACTACCATTCACCTGGAAAGGGATTGTGTGAATATGATTAGAGCCATCGCAGGGGCAAGGGCAGCATCTGAATTGTCTCCATATAGGCATTTTGTGTTTAAAATCCGGAAACTCTTGGGTGGTTTCGCAGTTCATCATGTCTCACATGTCCGTCGAGAGAGGAATAGTGTGGCTCATTTTTTAGCTTGAATGGCGATTCGTTTTGAAGAAATGAGGGTGTGGATGGAAGATGTTCCGAACTCCCTCCAAGCTCTTGTTAGGATCAAACACACACCCAGAAAAATATCACACACACACAGAGAACACAATATTTACGTGGTTCGGCCCAATGCCTACATCCACGGACAGAAATGAGAATTTTCACTAAAATGGAGCAAAATCTGAGAATTCTGCACTTCTTCGTGGGGTAATGTTTGCGCTGGAATTGGGGCTCACTACCATTCACCTGGAAAGGGATTGTGTGAATATGATTAGAGCCATCGCAGGGGCAAGGGCAGCATCTGAATTGTCTCCATATAGGCATTTTGTGTTTAAAATCCGGAAACTCTTGGGTGGTTTCGCAGTTCATCATGTCTCACATGTCCGTCGAGAGAGGAATAGTGTGGCTCATTTTTTAGCTTGAATGGCGATTCGTTTTGAAGAAATGAGGGTGTGGATGGAAGATGTTCCGAACTCCCTCCAAGCTCTTATTTGTTCAGAGTCTCTGCATTCGAGTTCTTAATTCTATTTTACCCTATGCAAAAAAAAAAAACATGAACATATAGCTCATTTTCTATTTGGCCACTGTTAACGCTATGCTCGAATACACTATTGCTCTATTAGGATAATCTGCTCGGATGTATTGTCGCTCCATTTGGATGCAATGTTAGGCCAATTCGGTTTGCCAAATTTATCAAGCTATTCTGTTTGAATGCTTAAACCTGAGCAAACGGTGGAGATAATTTAGGAGATACTATGTTTGGTTGGAAATTTGAGGAGGAATTTAGAAAGAAAAATAAAAAATAAAATATACTTATATTTCACCTAATTTCATATATTTTTTTCATTTTCTTTTCAAATCTCTCTCCAAATTTCTCAACCAAACACAGCGTAACAATCTAGACAACTTATTATTACTGGATAAGGAGATGCTAACAATCTTAGTTAATTCGGTGGTGCTACATGCATCAATTAGTGTACTAACTAGTATACTAACACTAGTTATAACATTATTATTGACCCCACTCATTAATCACATTACAAATATCAAAAATCTTTTAAATTATGTCACATCATCAATTGGTACACTAATTAGTATATTAATTGATAAATATAATATTATTTAGTTAATTATTTCGTATAAAAGTGTCTATATTCTGTATAAAGAGCTCACCTTTAAAAGAGGTCAAGAAGACAATACAGTACTTTGATATCATTATATCCATGAAGATGGTGCTAACTTAAGTATCGAAATGCCTATCCAGTGTCCATTGGCCAAAGCACTAACACTATGTTTGGATGCCAAGAAGGAAAAAAAAAATAAAAAATCATTACTTAAGTTATAAGAGAAAATAAAAGAAAAGAAATGATTGTGATTTCTCTCATTCTTTTTTGAATAAATAAGAAATAAAAGAAAATAAATGATTGTGATTTATTTGCTTCTTGTTTGGTTAGATTTTATAAGAGAAAACAAAAGAAACTATTTTATGTTATATTACTAAAATAATCTTTTTATATTCTGTCAATCATTTTGTTTCTTTTATTTTTACAGGGACAAAATTGATATTATAAAAATATAAGAATCTGTTGTTTTTTTTTTCTCTCAATCTTCTACTTTTGAAAAGATTGAAAATAAGGATTATAAGAGAAATAGATTTTTCTTCATTTCTCTCAATTTTTTTTTCTATTTCTCTCTATTTAAGTTATCCAAACAAATAAGAAAAATACATATCTCTACATTTCTTTTCTTTTCTCTCTAAATCATTCAATCCAAATATAGTGTAAATGGAGTCCTATTGTACAAACAATTAGTCTGGGGGAGATTGAATGGGACGAGATTTCCATGCAGAATGCATGTTTATGGTAGTGATTGAATGAATGCATTGTAAAATTTATATATATAACGAATTTAAATCATATGTTAAAAAAAATTAGATAAATTATGGATATATTTTCTGAATTTATAACATCATTGCTTTACAAATTCATGACACATCATTTGTCTATTCATTGATTTCTTTATCAGCACTAAGGTTCAATTTTTTTTTCCACACACAACTACTAGTCTACAATAGATTGTAAACAATGAAACGTAATTCACTTTAATTTGATAATTTACTCAGTCACATTGGTCCACTATGAAACATCAATATCATTCATAATCAATATAGAAAAAGATTGGTCCGCACAAAAATCAATATTAATTTTTTTTAGAATATTAAAAATAAATATTAATTTAAATCATAAAATGGTACATACCATAGTATTATTCCACAGCCCAAAAAGTGAAAGAAGAAAATGACCAGTGCAAGAGTGTTCTCGACATGATACAATAGAAATCTCTGTTAGTGGTTGCAGCCAAAAGTAACAAAAACTGAAAAAAAGGCAATAAGCAAAATCCAAAACCAAATTGCTTGACCTCATTTGTTTGTTTCTTTTGTTTTTTTCTCTCATAGCTGAATAACAATTGAGAACCACAGATCAAAAGTAGAGAGAAGAAAAAACCAATTATATATGGAGACGTAGATTTCACCTTTATACAATAAATATATGATAGGGTAGGTAAAGAACACATATCTTCAAAACAAAACAAAACAAAAAAAATTAGAAGGTATGAGCAGAATTTTTGTATAAAAAATTCAAACGAAATGATGATGTAGCCTTTATAATAGTCTTTTTATTTCAAACAAAACAATGATTATAATTCATAATTATAAAAATATGGTTGCCACATCATGAATGAGTTTTATATGTCTAAAATTTTTATTTGTGAATCAATTTCTAGTATAACCTGTTTAGTTATGCTTTTGTTATTTCTATTTTTATTTTTTATATTTTCAAAAACAAAACAATGAAATAATTTGAAAACACCGATCGATTTCATATTATTTTCATTTTTATATGAAAGTAATTTTTAAAAATTCAAAATTAAATTTTTATAGTGAATTCTACATACATGTAACATATAGTATGTTGTGGAACACAAATAAGAGATTAAATAAATAAATAAAACAAAAAATATATAATTTTCTATGTATCATCACTCTCTCCCACTATATATTATGGGCAATGATTGGTGGTCATAAATTTTGTAGTTTAAATAGCCTAAAAATGTCAACACGATATCGTTTTGAGTACAAAATAACTTTAAAATATCAAAACAATATCGTTTTGATATTTTCAAACTATCACAAAATTTATAATCACCAAACATTTTCCATATATTATAAGGAATTTTCTAACAGAAGTCAGAAGGTCATTTTAGCTCTCTCTGTCTCTCTCAATAAAAGTCTCTCAATAATTGCGTGGTCTGCCTTCCAACCTCTCTCTCTCTCTCTCTCTCTCTCTTAAAACCTGTATTGTGACATCCAACCGTTTCTCATTCATATCATCTCCCTCACTTTATTCTCTCCCTCTCACTTCTTTTTTTAAACCATCTCTTTGCTCATTCTTTTTCTATACCCAAAAATCCATTTCTCTTCTTCACAATCCTCAGGTTTCTCTTACATTCTCTCTTTTTCTTTTTTTCTTTTTTCTTTTTTCTTTTTTCGTTTCCAATTATCCAATAAACTAATTATGGTGAGTTTGTTCTGTTGTGTTCTTATGACAGGTTTGATTAGGTATATAGATATGGTGATGATGAGTTTGGAAAGGTTGGTGGTGAACCTCAAGTCAAAACTGAGGTCTCTGAAATTGAAGAAACCAGATTATGACAAGATCGAGAAGAGCGAGAGCATGAGAGTCGAGATTAGGAGCAGGAAGGCTCGCAAGCTCGTCGAAGAAACTCTCAAAATTGCTGACTCTCCTAAGAGCAGAACTTATGCTTTCTGAATAAACAAATAAAAATTTGTGAAACCATACTGTTCTTCTCTCCTACGACGTCCACCATATGCATGGTGTTCCTTAGTTGATAAAGAGTTTTATCTTTTTAGTTGTCACTACTCTCTCTCTCTCTCTCTCTCTCTGAGTATTATATCAACAACATATGGTGTATATTTTACCAGAAATATGGTCACTGTAGAAGTAGAAGAGATAATATATAAGCATTAGAAAAAAGGGATGCATATACTTTTTAATTGCATATAAAGAATATCTATATGACTATTAATTTGTGTTTGTGTTTGATTAGTGATATATGCAATAACAGAATCTATCAAATATGTCATTCCAGTTCCTTCAGCAATTTGTCAACTGATCATTTGAGGCTAGTGAACTAGTTGTTTTACTTTTTTTATCCTAATTAAGAAGCGGAATTTAAAATTATCAAACAATCACGACCTTCATATCTCTTAATTTGGGTGGAGCAATGTCCTCGGGCTCTCTCTCTCTCTTTAAATAGACCTCAAGTCTTATATAAATAGAAGTTATTTGGTAATCCAACTTATCATGTATTAATTGTAAGAGTACGTAAAATATTGGTCAAGTCTATTAAATAATTTTTTTTTTATTTTACACTCTTCTTTGAAAAATTATCAAACAATCACGACCTTCATATCTCTTAATTTGGGTGGAGCAATGTCCTCGGGCTCTCTCTCTCTCTTTAAATAGACCTCAAGTCTTATATAAATAGAAGTTATTTGGTAATCCAACTTATCATGTATTAATTGTAAGAATACGTAAAAGAGAAAAGATAAGAATCATGAAAAGACTTTCATGAAACTGATCATGAAAAATTTATGACCCTTAGATTACCTTGATTAGTGTGTGGTGTTTTATTTTAAGTGTAATCTAAGAATCATAAATCTTTCATGATTATTTTCATGAAAATTTTTTCATGATACGTAGCATTGCTCTACGTAAAATATTGGTCAAGTCTATTAAATAATTTTTTTTTATTTTACACTCTTCTTTGATTTATGTCTAATAGCTACTTGATATGCATGAAACGAAAATTTACATAATAATTAGTTGTTCTGAAGCCCCGACTATCTTATGATAAAAATAAAAATAAAAATAAAAATGAATCTTTTTAGAAAGAAAAAAAAGAAAATAGAATCTGAACTAATAATATTCTTTGCCTAGAAGAGGACAGAGAAAAGATGGGGCAGAGAAGTAAGTAAAGCATGAAAAAGCTTATACAATTTGTGTCTTTTTATTGTCAGCGTTGAAAATGAAATGCAAGACAAAGTAGAAAAGAGATACATGAGAGGCTGAGGATAGACCTCTTTGGAATCCACTGTTGGTGGTGACGTGGAATTTGTTTGCACACTCGCTTCGCTTTTTGTACCTTTATTTTTTTTTTCTTTTTTTAATTTTATTATATCTCCGGTTCAAATTAAACTAGAGTACTGTTGAGCTTTCGTGGATCTATCACGAAACTGCATCGATAATTTGAATCATGCAATATATAATACTCGTCGAGTATTTTATCTTTATAAAAAATGACATTGATAGTATATTGATATCCATTTGATCAGATCACATTTGTGTCAACAGTAAATATGATTTTTAAAATACAAATGTGATCTAATCAAGTGTTTATCGATATCCGATCAATGTAATTTTTTGTAAGGATGAAGTACTCGACGAGTCCTACATAGTGAACAGTTCGAATTATCGATATGAGTTTTGTTGTGGACTCACGAAGACCTAACAACACCTTTCCATTCAAAAACCCAACTGGAGAGTAGCCTTAAATAGAAATTCTAATTAAGTGTTTATCGATATCCGATCAACGTGATTTTTTATAAGTATATAGTACTCAACGAGTTCAACGCATTAAACAGTTCGAAATATCGAAACAGGACCCATAGTGGATCCAAACGGGCTCAACAACACTCTCCAGTCCGATCAGGGACTAGAAGGAAACCCAGCCCCATTTCAGTGCAATGAGTTGGACAAAAATAAAGATGGAAAACCTTGAAGTCCTTTTAGGAGCTACACTTTTTTTTTTTGTTTTTAAGCAAATTTATTGCTTAAAATGCTAAAAATTTTATTTGTTTAAAATATTTTAAAATTTTTTTGATTTTTCTAATATTTTTTTGAATTAGCTGTAGTGAACTTTCTTCTACAAAAAATGAGTTTGCCAAATGTGGTAAAGCTTCTTTTAACAAAATAAGTTTTTTTGGTCAATAACTTGAATTTTAAACAACTAATATGAATGTAAGTGTGTATATTTACTGTATGCTATTTTTGTCCCAAACGTAATTCTTCTTTCTAATTAATTTTTTTGAAAACAGTAGATGTCACTCAATGTAATGGATCTCAAGAAAAAGAAAAAGTTATGTTCTATTTTTTTGGTTACACCGGAATTGGAAAAACAAGGGATGAAGTCCATTCCTGAGACATTTCTATTATGTTTGCGACAAGCAAACTTTTGATCTGGTTGGTGGTTCATTCACATCTAGCATGTCTTCTGGTTGTGTTGCTCTAAGCTTGGCCAGTGCATCAGCACAAAGGTTTCCTTCTTCCTAAACATGTTGAACAGTGCAATTGCTGTGGGATATCATCACCCCATGTGAGAGGTGATTCTCCATGTGAAGAAGGAATTGGCAATGTGCAAAGCCAACACACACATGAGCTGCCATGTGAAGCCAACACACAAGAGAGTTGGCACAAGCTGGTCATGTGCTGGCCAGCCCCTCTTCATCTCCTATTCTGTTAGTGTATAAATGGAGGCTGAGGGGAGAGTTTAATTGAGAGAGAGTGAGAGCAGAGCAAGCCACAGAGAGTGAGATATGAGAGGCGGAGAGACCGTCTCCCTCAGTGTGAGCGAGGGAGACGGGTGAGTGTGTGAGTGAGGAGAGTGTGAGCTCCTCCTCTATTGTAATCTTTCTGTAATATCTCCATTGTTATAGTGATAACCGGCTACTCTCCCGTGGACGTAGGCATTGAGGCCGAACCACGTTAAATATTGTGTCTCCTTGAGTGTGGGTGTGTTTTTCTGCATGGAATAATTTCTATAAGATCTTGGGCGGGATCCCAGATCCCAACAATTGGTATCAGAGCCTCGTTGGTGGCGTTTCGGAACAAAAACAGCGTGTTGTTTGAAACTGCCCAGAAATCAAGTTGCTCCAAATCAGATTTTGAGCATACCAGGAGCAAGGGCTCGACAAGAGGAGTCCAGAAATATAAAGAAGACACCCAACGGAGGCCGGACGCGCCCTCACGCGCCCCTAGAAGTTGACAGTGCGATGTTTGAAACTGCCCAGAAATCGTATTGCTCGAAATCAGATTTTGAGCATACCAGGAGCAAGGGCTCGACGAGAGGAGTCCAGAAATATAAAGAAGACACCCAACGGAGGCCGGACGCGCCGTCACGTGCCCCTAGAAGTTGGCGCGTGAATCCCAGTCTCGCCACGCGCCACCACGCGCCGTTCAGGCTACCGGCGCGTGGTCCCAGTCTCACCCACGCGCCCCACGCGCGGCGCAAGGAAGACGACGACTGTGGGAGCAGCGCGTGTCCACGACGCGCACGCCATGTGGGCCCACGTCAGCAGCGACGTGTCGGCCACGTCATCAGCCACGTCAGCAAGAGTTGCCACGTGGTTGCCACGTTCTAAGCCAGGTCACCGACACGTGGCTAGCCACGTCATCGACACGTGGCCATAGAGCATTGCCACGTCAACACAGGTGTGCCACATGTCTGCCACGTCAGCAGTGGTGTTGACCAGTCAACCAGAGGCAGGTAAGGATCCCGTGCTTCGCGGCTAAGGTGCAGCCGCAGATCTGAGGCGTACAAAATGTTTTGGCTAGATTGAAGCCATTTGGAGTCCGTTTTTGGTGATCCAATAGTGGTTTCCGACTATTTGGAGTATTCCGAACACATCCGTACGGTCAGATCTTGGAGACGGAGTTTCTGTAAAAAGAAGGCAGATTAAAGAGACGAACGGCATCAGGTACAGTGGACGGAATATTCTGTTGGTACACGGAATATTCCCTGAACTTCTGAAAATTGCAATTTGGCCCAGAATTTTCAGAAAATTGTGGTGTGGCCCAGCTTTCGGGGATAGTTTTTCAGTGAGATCCCTGGAAGTGCAGCGAAGGTTGGTCCTAGCTAAACGGACCGCTCCGGACGCAACCGCGAGGTCAGAATAGTGAAATTCTGAACGGTTTGGGAAGATTGTCAAAACATGGGTGTTTGTCATCTTCAATACTCGAAGGAAGGTTGCCGGATATTGTGGAACGCTGCGGATTCACTGAAGAGGTTAGAATGTGCAGATTCTGACCCGATTGGACAACCAGATATAGATTGAGATAGATCATTGAAGACCAGAGGAGATCAGGCTTGATCAAATGGCAAATCAAGGGAGATCATGATTGGTCAGGGGTGATCAGAGGATTGCAAAAATGATTATCTCCGGAGTTCGTTGGAGGATCTGGTTCAATCAAAAGAGAAGACCATTCATCGACGGATAAATGATTTGGCAACTAGTACAGGCTCAGGGAAATACTGTGGCTGTTGGAGCTACTGTATACGAGTAAGTACTGGTGGTACGTGGACGTGTAGAACAATAGTTGCAGAGGAGCATACTAAGCGCAGAAGCACAAATGCTGACGTGCAGCAGTGCAAGGGTACGGTAGAGTATCGTACAGAGGCGCAAGAGGAGTATGTAGCAACGGGTTGTTGAAAGTTCACAGAAACTTCCAGACAGAGAAATTGAGACAGGTAAAACGCAGGAGTGCGTGCCAAGGAGTGGCAAGTCTTATTTCTCTATGGTGGTTTCTTTAGTTCCATGGCAGCAGATGATAGAGTTGATGTAGATCTCTCAAGCAAGCTTGACGCAGGGAGACCAGAAGCCATGGGTGCGAGCACTATGCACAGAGTTGCATAGTGGTAACTTGTACAAACCGATGAAAGTTGTCTTGGCAGAAGGGCTAACTGTCAAACATCAGTACGGACGTACAAGTAAGACAGAACCGAACATCAAGGATTGCAGCACAGACAACAAGCGTATGTGGAAACGGAGACCAGAAGCCATGGGTGCGAGCACTATGCACGGAGTTGCATAGTGGTAACTTGTACAGACCGATGAAAGTTGTCTTGGCAGAAGGGCTAACTGTCAAACATCAGTATGGACGTACAAGTAAGACAGAACCGAACATCAAGGATTGCAGCACAGACAACAAGCGTATGTGGAAACGCCAGGAGGTTGTTCAGAAGTGCAGAGGGCAAAAGCTGA